GTTGAAGTCTATGAATAGCCAAGCACAAAAGGTATAGAATAATAGGTGTGCGTCAGTTTTATTAGCGGCCCGTCTCGCTGACAGGATCACATGGCTTGAAAATTATTTCATCATGTTCGGAGTCCAACTGTGGGACTCTGGTGTTATCTGCTATTTTTGTCTCTCTCGGCCGTATATTTCTGAGGCCAGGAACAATGTAGTCTGACAGACATATTCTTTATGAGGGGCTCGTGGTCTCTCTAATTTGACACAGTTGTCAGAGATAAAGCTCCTTAGAGAGTGTGGCCATGCTCTGGGTAAGAATGGGGATTAAATTAACACCCCCACCTTCACATCCTCTGACCCCAATACCAGAGAATAAAACATACATGCGACTCACTTGAGCAGTACCCCGCGTCTTTCCAACTTCTGCTCTGCTCTGTTTGTACACAGGCAACCACAGCTCACAAGGGCCTCAAGTCAGGTTAACAGAAATACATGCTTACCTACAATAATACTGTTAAAATATACTATCAATCTGTACTCTGAATATGAGCAGTGAGAGGGAAAATCACAGCCTCTTATAAGGTGTGACAATACACTGGCTCTCCTTGGTAGTTTGATATCAAATGACCCGAGCACGTAAAATCAAATCAACATTGGAATGGATCATATCAAATTCTAATGAAAACATAATGTGCTCTTAAAATGTGTGCTGGCCCGGCAGCCAGTCATCCAGAGAGTCTCCCCCAGATGACGTGATGAATAGGGAACACCGATGGAATATGCATCAAAGTCGGCCTCATGATTTATGTAATAGCAGTCACTTGGACACTGATTAGCTGCTCTGTCAAGCGTGTAATACGAGAGGCACAACCCCTGGTTTATCAGTCATTTATCTGAAGTGCGTCCTGATATTATCACTGGATCCTAATGTCATCATTATGCCGCACAGCATGTGCGGGCCAGTGTGTCATGGTGCCGGCGACACTGCCTGTCAGGAGTTCAAGCCTCTTCATTTGCAAAGTGCTCAGACATTCATAGCAGCATGTCAACAGTAAAATAGAGGAGCGCGCTCATATCGGAGATGGAGGGACAGAGGCGCATAGGCCCACTTCACAAGTGGCCACTTGAGACAACACACACATTTTGTCACGTCTTTGTGCTAGGGCTTTGGCTTAGTGATGATCAGGCTAATTCTGCTGAGAGGAGAGGAACAACAAAATGTCAAAGTAAAAAGCACAACTTTATCAGGATGCTTTTTCATGCCTACTTGAGGCTTTGATGAAGAGAAATCCACATAACATGCCCAGTGCACTGGTATAGGACATCCAGTGTGAGGCCCACAGAGCAGTGTGATTAGAATGCATACTCACACACTCACTATGAGAGAAGAGAGCTTGTTCAGTCTGTCAGGACTTTCCTGCTCTCCAAGAGAATATCTGATATCATAAATGACTTCAACTCCTCCCACGCCAACACTATTACACTGAACACAGGAAGAGACAGCTCTGTGTGATCTGTGACAATCTAACATGAGGCGGATGGACACAGCTAATAAACAGTTTGTGACATATGACATAAAGACTGGACTTGTTATTCTCACACACATCTGGTGCAGAACTGAAAGGAAACAGTGCAACATATAAGTCTATCATCACTTTTCACAAACAAAAATAGTGAGGGAAACTGCACAGGAAAAAGAGCTCTTTGAGTCTCAAACAAAAGACAGCGGCCCGGCTGCCAGCTCAGGCAGGGCACCACACCTTGGCAACGGTGGCGCGCACAATCAAAGGAACAGTCGTCATCAGAGGGCTGTTTTTAAAGGATATCTGTAAAAGATTCAAAATATGTGTCATTATGGAAAACAATCGCTGCACCGGGTTATTGTGTCCATTTTAAACCATCTCTGTCAGTACAATAGAGCTAATATATATTTCCTGTTTTGATACTTTTTGAATTAAAAAATAATTTTGTAATTAATAATAAGGTTTCAAAATCTCAAAACATACTAAAAATGATGAATAATAAAATGGAATATGTCCCATGTGGGATTTAAATTTGGATAATCAGATATAACTGAAAAATGTAACTGTAATTATTTGGGATTTTTTTTCATAAGCTTAAACTGGAACAAATACAAAAATTGGGTCTGGGTAGTGCCACATAGGATAATTGTTTGGCTTCTGATAGAGCAGCATTAAAATCATTTGAAACAGTATGGCTCAGAAGATCCAGCAGAGGGGGCTGCTTACTGCAATCATATGCTGATTAATTGAGCCTGATTCTCCCCATGCTGCGAACATAAGTTGTCCCACACTGTAGGCTACATGTTGGTATGTGGGGAAAGGTTACAAGGCTTTAACCAAGTCACCTTTTAACACAGGTAACCCTCCCATCATTTTGATTAATATTAAGAAAACACTGATTTTTTGATTATCCCTCATCAGCCTATATCAAACTAGGTTATGTTCATTTTTATTAATTGTGCATGTTGCTCTCTAATTAGCTAATGAGAGACAAAAAGCAGGTTTAGAGCAGAAAAATGCAAATGACTCTTAGAAAATAGCACAAAAAAGTAAATGGCAAGGCTGAGAATCATTCTTCATTGAAATGTCAGAGATAAATGGCTCAAATGTCACATCAATTAAAACGGGGGACAGTTAGTAGTTCATTAAAGAGAGAGCCATATTGCACCGTCGGGTACCGTTGCCAACCCTTACTATCTGGGGCAGACTGGCAGCGGGTCCAGATGGCACGGAAATCCTCACAGATTTCAAAATGGTCTCTGCAGGGGTGGCGTTTCTCCCCGCTCCCACCCTCACCGCTGAGGCCCACGCCGGCCTACACGCTCCAAACGGAGGCATGCAGAGAACTGAGGTCTGCTCCCAAATAAAACCACCACACAGAGGACAGGACAGCAGAGCATTTGAAACAAAGCAGCACAAATGTTACACAAATGTTATTACTACAATTATTTACTTCAACTGCAATTCTGATCTGTTCACAAAGACAAAAAATATCCACTAATCAGTCCCTTTTGTAACTCTACAACACAAGAGGATAATTATAATTGGCTATTTGAAGAGACTATGTTATTAAAGAGAGTTTCCTTCTTAACTATGGTCTCAACTATAACCTACGGTACTTAGGCCTAAGATGGCACTATATTATCAAAATATTGTCAATGCTATTATTATTTTGTGAATGAATAACTGGCTAATGAATTTTCAGCATTATATAAACTTTAGGGGAAATAATTTTATTGTAAAAGATTAAAGTAATGCATTAAGATTAGCCTATTTTATAATTAAACTTTTAAATACATACGTCTATAGCCTTATAGTACTACCTCTTTCGTACCTTGTGACACAGACCACTTCAAGGACCACAAATCCCAATATGAGACCTATTAGAAATGCCATCTGTGTGTGTCCCCGGCTGGGCGGAGCGAAGACGCTGCACTGACCAATGGCAGAGCTGGAGAGGACTTTGGACATCAGTCATTGGCTGCTTCGGCCATGCTTTCTGAAAAACAGGAAGAAGATTTGCTAAACGTGCTGCGTGCATAGCTGTGTGGATGGCAGAGACGAGCCTGCTCTGAAGCAATACATTAGCTGTAGGTAACTCGTACAGTGTTTTATGTAATGTCACCCATGTCAGCATTTACTTAAACTTAGAAACCGATTATTACGGGCATTAACACAGAAAAATAGCTAACTTGAGAAGTAGCGACACGATGCCCTCACACAGGTGCTACACTGTTTTCATAAATGTTTGGTACATGGTAAAAGGTACATAAGCTACGTAATAAGTGTTCAGCAACTAATAACTGCGCTGTTCACTATAATTAACTTTGGGTGCCGTTTTTAATTTTCCATAGCCAAAGATAAATTAGCATGGAAGCGTTAGCGGAGCGGACACATGTTGCATTTTCACACCTGCGCTTCCTAGTTAATGAAGCACGCAGGTTTGACCGGTAACCGCGCTAATGAGGAAGAGTCCGATGATTGACGAGGGTGAGGAAGATGCCAATGACTTTTAACAACACAAGCTGGCTGTTGTTTGCTGTCCCTTACCGTGAAGAGCTCGGTAAACATCCAAATATTCAAGCAGGACCTGTGAGCAGTCACTTATGAACGACTGTTGGCTAGTGCCCACACTCAAGTTGCACGGATGACTAGTTATTTTTTTTAAAGGAGCAGTCTTCTTGTACCGCTATAAAAAGCAGATTTTTTTTGGACATATTTTCCATAATGACTTTTCAAACGTCACAACTTCGCATTAGGGCTGCAGCTATTGATTATTTAAGTAGTATTTTGGCATTAGTCGACTAGTAAAACGATTATTTCTATTGTATATTGAGATTTGAATACATTTTTAAAAATAAAAGTTGAAATGTGTTGAACGAAGTCGTCTAGATTATTCTGATGAGTTGTTGCAGCCTTAATGTGCATTTTTTTGTATGAAGACCTCAAATGTGCTCAATAATTCAGTTGTTCATATTGTGTATTTTGATGTTTAAATTCTGTAATTTACAATTGCTCTATGCAATTCATGCTTTTTTAATCAATAAATTGATTAAAGAGTAATTAAAAACATTTAAAATAAATTTACAATTCTGATCATGAATTGTGTGATGGATAGCCATGTTCCTTTTTCTTCTTCATCCTCAAATGAATCTTTGCATTAACAGCAAGTAAACATTTGATAATATTTCTGTAAATATGTTTATATGTGTACTTAAATTTCATTCCTATTCTCAGTAACACAGTGAAAATTCTCCATAGGCCACACATTTAAATGAAAGCAGTTCAATGTAAATAAAAGGTGTTAAAAACTAATTTTCACTGGCCCCATTTTTAGTCTCCATGGTGCTTCTCCTACATGCTTCTCTAAACTGCATGTAGCAATTACTGACAAATAATGTAAAATAGCACTCCTGAAATGTCTCACAAATTACAAAAAAATATTGCATTTTAATTCAACGCAGTCTCACTCATCCTTTCTTCTATTTGCAGGTCTGTGACTACACCTTTGCTAAACGGCAGACAGTGCTTATCCAAAGTGCACTGTAGCATTGTTTGGCTCTGAAATTTCTCGCCTTTATTGTCAGTTGAGGCAAACCCCTGATGAATACAGTGAGAGCTGCAAAAGTAGGAACAAGAAAGTTGAGGCATGTTGACGCATTTGTGATCGCGTACCATGACAGATGTGCTGCTGGTGTGTGAAGGGGAGAGCTAAAGCACAGTAAATGCATGACTACTTTTAACACATAACCTTTGTTTTTTTTCCTTCTCTCTCAAAGAAATACTGTACTCTGTGTAATCTTTATACAAACAGACTCAATTTAGACAGCTGCTATTGCAATTTATTACAATTATCAGCTGTTTAGTCTTCTAATTAAGCAGGTTTGAAAATAATGGAAAGTTATTAGTTTACACACTAACTGGAACTACTAGTATTCCTATTTCACATTTTTAAATATTATACATGTGTTTTAACTATTTCATGAGATTAAATGAGGAACATGTCATCATTTCATAGGATTTTATGTTATTCATATCTTTATATAATAGCTGCTTTCTAGACATACATCTAAGTGTCTATATTGATTTAAGTTATTGTTGACAACTACTACAATGGCAAACCTTTTTATGTTCAATAGCAGTGATAGATATGCTAATCTGACAATTAATATGCAGCCATTGTGCATTTGTTTACAATGACAGTCCATAGGTGATGTTATGAAAGAGTGAAAAATATGGATATTATTTTTGTACCCTTTAACCATTTTTAAATCAAGGTTTCATGAAGAAAAGGTTCCTCGGAACTCTTACAATCAATGTGACCTTTATTTATTATAACCCCCATCTCTCAAAAACTCACATATAACATAGTCAATCATCTCTCCTTCCCTCAAAGTAAAAATAAAAAAGGAACTGCTGTCTGGTTATTGCCAGTATCCATCTCAGTCGTCAGAAAAGCTGCACGTTTTTGCTGTTGTTAAGGGCTGGAAACCAGAATCCCATCGGAGTTGCACCCTAAGGAACAAATTTAATGCTAGAAAAACATCCCGGCCATCAACCAAAAATGACGGATTGAAAATAATGTCGAGCTATCTTGGGAATCCCCCACCAGACAAGGGAACAGACTGCATTGTTTTTCTCATTTATGTGATATATAGAACAGAAAGAGGGGAAAAAATGGGCGATTTATTGGTTAGATAGGCGTATTCTTTTCCATGCACAAAAGAAATATTGGATAGTAATGTTGGGATCAAGTCACATCATGACATTGTTTGGAGGCTAGGTGTTCAAATATGTAAGTCATCAGTCGTTGGTGGCCCGCTAGGTTTCCAATAGATCATTCAATGCAAATGTGTGTGGGAAAGTCTGAGCGCAGTTACCACATGAATATGTCAATGAACGCGCTGTAATTTGTGCTTCCTTAGCAGGGCAGAGAGATGAAGAAGCTGAGGGAGAGTCAGTGCACTCAGAAGACCATCTCATTGCTGAGCCCCCTGGGGAAGATCCAAGTCAGCGGATGTGAGAATGGTGTGCACACCATCCGGATCCTAATGGATGTCGCACCTGCTGAAAGGTACTGTACAACAGCCGGCCGCTGACGTGATAAACAAAGGTGTGAAATTTACAGGCAGACAGAATCCACTGCTGTGATGGAGTGCCACCATTCCTCATTGGAAGCAGGGCATTTTTGTAGATCCCACAAGAAATATCCTGGAGAAAGTTGGGCAAATATGAGCCGGCACTAGAAATATGAGGGGCACTAGAATACAGTTGGGCTTGAAATTAGATTTCTGATGGCATGTGGTTGTGATTCTTCCAGCAGTATATTTGAAATTTCAGAAAAATAACTTGTTTATTACCCACAAGGGAGATGATTAAAGTTGATGTCTATAGGGTCACCAAAGGCCATAGGGAGCATGGACTGTCCCCTTGTTTATTTATGTGGCCTGTGAGTTGTATGCAGGAGTGGAGAGTGTCAGCGGCACTCACAAATGTACTGTGTGATTGCATTTCAGCACTACTCATCATTCAAGATTGTCACAACACTGACAGTTTTACTCAAGCGATTGAAACTGATTAAACCCAGCATTAATAAGAATTTATTTCTTATTTTTACACGTCCACATCTTACATTTCAGATTAGTTTTGATTGGATTGAAATTAAAACCCATGTATCACAGATTCACATTTGATAAACTTGAATGGTTTGGGAAATTAAACCATTTCCAAATGCACCCGGTTAGGAAGTTATCCTTTTGAAAATGTATGTTCAAATTCTAATTTATGGAAACCCATTAATGACCTTGTATATTATACCTCAACATGTGTTTCCTACTCTAGTGTGGGCTATTTCCTAAAATTCATCAAGCAGTAAAAACATTCCACTTGTTGTTAATGAGTTGAAGGAAGAAAATTAATAATATGGAATTTTGATTATGGAAGATGTCCTGTAACCATTCGCAAGCACCTTTCTCCATCTCCTCGTGAACGGGGTTTAATTTGTGTGTTCAGGTTCAGTAGGAATATGCAAATGAATTTAATGATTCGCATCACTAGATCATTTCTCAGTTTAATATCATTTGCTATGTCGGTCATAAGTGAAGCTCCGATCACATCGCTGTCTGTATGTTCTCAAAGGTGTGAGCAGGAAATCATTAGATGAAATGTAGCAGTTTTATCACGACCAGTTGAATATTGCATTATTGTCACAGACTGGGACTAGATCCAGCGCAGATATATGGAGTAACGCAAATGTAAACAGGCATTAAGGGAGGCGAGATAAAGTGACAAAATATAGGCTTATCTGTGCAAGCGGCTTTACATGTAGATCTCAGCAAAGCCTGCGTGTGGCTGTAATAGTTCAGATCAGCCCTGTGTATCGATTTATTTATGACATACTAAACAAGGCTCTCTCCAGCTCGGGCTGAGGTGTGGGCCCGGCTTAGGGAGTCACAGTGATAAATGATGTCTAAGTGCATATTTTGGATAAAGAAAAAAGACAGCTCCTATGCAGAGCATGAAGGAGACCTATGAAAGGTGTTTGGGAGCGACTGGAGCTTTAACGGCTCACAGCGCCACGCTTGTCCTCTGTGCTCTCTCACACTCACTATTGGCTGGTGTGAGCAGCTGTGCTGGCTACACAAACATTCATGGCAGTGATAGATAGTTATTGATAAATGCCATTATAGCCACATAAACGCCCTTGAAGTATTGCTTACACACCATGACCGTCAGCTCTTTCTAATAGAAACGTCTCAAGCCCTTTTTGCTTCCTAACTGATCTTAGGAACATTTCCTGAAATCAACCTCCTCTGCCAGTCTAACGACAGCCCTGAAGGCACCATCAGATGAACAAATTCATTACATCTCAACAACCCCTGTTGGGGCCCTCTGCACCAGCCTCCTGTTAAGCAGCCGGCTGCCTTTAGTTTTAGCATGGCCACCGTGTTCACAGAAAAATGATACACATTTTGTTTACAGGAGATTACTATTATCTGAAATATGATGCTTTGTGCCTCTTTCACACAGCGCACAGACACATAATACAGAGGAAATCATAGAGCACTTTTTTATTAGGGTGAAAAATGAAAAAAGGGCTGGACTCCTGCCCCGAGACATTTTGTGAGCATATTATTTTACAATGCTTTGATCAATTTGTCTGTCACGCTGCCTGAGATGTGGGGGAGCAGGAAAAAAGCAATTTAGCTTGTGAGGTCCTCAATAGAAGTGTACTAGTGGAGCTGTGCATGACATGTTGCATTAGAACCTGAGTAGCCTTTATTGCTTGATAATGTCGCTCGGCAAGGCTGATATCAATCACCCTTTAACAGCCCTATGATATGTTTTTATGAAAAGAAAAAGCAATGCATGAAACATTTCTTAGAAAATAATTGATCTAATGCGGCACTGAGGGATTTCTGCTTTTCACAACTTAAAAATATAGAAAATACACTAAATATACTAGAAGCTAAAACAGTGAAGGGTAGGCTCATTCCATGAGCTCCTATAGAAAATAGTAATTAATTTTACAACAATAAACATTCTGTCTCATTTGCATTTAGATGTAAACAATATATTTGTGCATCTAAATTCCCAGCACCCCCCCATCACGTGATGTGCCTAAAATCCTAAGTGGCTAAACAAAAATTATCACAGCATTTCCCCAGACCATAAATCCCCCTTTTTCTCTTGACACAAAGCCTTATAAATCTGTGTCTGATTTTTCACATTGTTTTTAGTTAATGATTTTCATCTGTTTGTTGTTGCTGTGATAGCGGCGAAATGTACCATATGCTCCGGCAAAAGACAAATGATTAGCAAATGAAATTCTGGACAGCTGTCTGACTGAAAGCGTTTGGTTGATAGCATTCTGCTACCATAATTAGCTTAAGCTTTGGGTTAATTAACTTTCTACCTGGATATGCATAATAATAGCATTCTGCGGAAAGCCAAGAAGCTTTCAGTATATCAGCCGCAGAGGCTGGCTTTTATTTTGTATTTCCACTGCATATTTCAATTTCAAGAGGCGATTTAGCTCAGGAGCATCATCAAATATTGTAGATTTTCCTCCCCAAGCCCGATAATTCTGAAACAATGGAAGTATATTATGTGGCAGAAATGCCATTTCTGAATGTAATTAAAGCGGATGAAAGCAATCACCCGTTTTTAAATGCTTTTGTCTAGCAAGAGGCCTACTTGTAAAAATACCGTCAAGGGGAGAAAAGAGGCAAAAGAACCCCCAAGTCCTCACACAAGAGGCCTCCGAGACTCAGTCAAGTACTAGAGTAATTAGTCTTTTGTATGAATTTGCTGGCCATGGTCATGATTAGTTAAGCATATGAGCGCAGAAGACTGCAGGAGTCTATTTATCAGCAGTTGTCCTCACAGTTTTCCTTTATCACTCACAACACTGGATGGGGCTGACAACAGTCTAATTGTTGGAGGTGGAGTGTTTTTGTGTGGGAGCCGTCACCTTAGTCACATGGCACTCATTTCCCATCTATGTGTGCCCTAATACCCAAGCTGTCACAACAGCCTTTATACACCAACACTGGTGTGAAATATGTGAGCTGATGCATTTCTCCTGCCTCACACTCCTGTAGTGTGCACAGGGAATCAATGTCCTGCTTCTCACTGAATAGCAGCATGCCAAATGACTTTCCTGTTTGGGCCCTGGTGTTTACATCATGTCTTCACACAACAATACAACAAACGCTGCTATGGGAATGAAAAGCTACTGTCAAGTACTTAATAATAATCATAATAATGCACTTCATTTTCATAGTTCTTAATAACTTTTAGGAGTGAATTGGCATAAGTATGAGAAGACTATTTTACACTTTCTTCTAAACTGCACTGTCATGTACACTGTGATCTGCTGAGATATTGAATGAAATCATCAATAAGACAGAAGGAGACTTTTTGACGTGGTCCCTTTAGAAATGGCATGAATAATTCATAATGTAATAATATTCAGATGATTCTGTTCTATTTTTCCTGCGTCCTTAGAATATTGTTTTGCATGTTGTGAAGTGTAGTACTCAGCTGCGTATTCATTAAGGTGCTGCTCCCACTGGCCCTTGGACCCATCTGTGCTCTATGTTTATGCCCACGTCTCCCGGGACTGTCCCAATCAGGCTGCATGTGCCATTTCCTGTGGAAACCAACACCTGTGTAACTCACTACCTGTAAGCCGCCCTCACAGACGCGACTCTGACATTCAGTCCCATACAAAATGTGCAAATGTTGTGCTTTTAAAGGCTTCCTCCGGGGTGCGGACACGTCAAGAGGGAGCCATGCAGCCAAAAGCAGTGCTGCACTTTTGTTGTCTTTCTGCCTGCTGTCAGTGAAGTTTCTCTGGTGCAATGTTTGCACTGTTTGCTTTTAAACTTGATTGGATTCTATATCTTCAACATGCAGAGTGTACAGTGTGTGACATAGCAAGGCAATATGCACAGAGATGATTCTGCTCTGACATCTTGGAGAGGAGTACGAGTCAATTATGCCCAAGTGTTGTTCTTGCTTATCTTCCTGCGGCACCAAACAAGGATTTAGTCAAGGATTTAGGGGTGAGGGGGCGGTGGTGGGGATCATGGTAAGCGGTTCACAACAAAACACTCAAAACTCCTGGGAGCGGGCACTGATTTAAAAATAAATTACAGAAGACGAAGCGCTAACACTCAAGGGCCCTCAGCAGTGCTGGCGTACACAGGTGAAGATTAGCCTCCTCGCTAATCAGAGGAACAAGGCAGTAATTTGCTCTGAACACAGACAGCAATTAGGACTTGGTGACACTAGATTCCCATAATGCCTTTGTGCTTGACGTGGTCAAATTTTGACAGAGGCTATCCATGCAGGGTCAGTGTCCCCCCAGTCTCCCGGCCCTCTTCAGTGCAGCCTCTAAAAGGTCCCAGCAGTTAGAGCGCTCCCTAATGTACTTTAGGTCTCCCTCACTGGCTCCTTACCATTCGGGTAATTGGAATCTCTTACTGTGGCACTTGAGAATAGAGGCTAAAAACGCTATTTGAAACTGCTCAGTAGTCTGTTGTAGATAAACATTGGTGCGTGCTGGAGGTGTGGATGCACTACATAATGGACTAAGAGTTAAGGCTCTGGTAATACATGCCTTCACTGACTCCTGTGGCGGGCCAGTTGGGAGAAGACCTAATTGTTGTGTGCTTTGTTGCCTACTCCGCACTATTTTACCACCACCTTTGTTGTATGTATTGGATGGAGCGCTTCAGCCTCTTCAGTGGACATTTGTTAATAAGAGTTGTTGGATATCTAGAGAGTAGTTTATCCGGCCCAGTTGTTTTTATTTTGAAATAGCAGAGCACAGAGCGTGCATGGTAGAGCCGAATAGGAAGTGTTCCTTACAGCTTACCACTCCAAAAGCTCTTGACTTTGGTGCAGCAGTAGTGAGATAGGCATCTCAATGATGTTCAAATGGTTGATCGAGCTGCATTGAGCAAGTGGCTTACAATTGTATCACAGCCCGTGGCTCAGAGACCATCAGGGTTTTGACATTCATAGAGACATGCTGTATTTTCTCCCTTTTTAGACAGTCATTTTAGGCTTCTTTCATGCTCTCTTGAGTCTTTGACGTCTCTGAGTTAAGTATCTGTGGCTATGAGGCTGAGGAAAATATTGGAGTGCTCCTGGCCTTTTCTATTTCATCCTCTGACCGCCGTGTTCCCCATGATCGGTGAAGGAGAACTCTGGCAGCCTGTGTCAAAAGTGACAGCCCATAGAGTCAGAATGAACACCATCACGCTTCACACTCTCTCCTTTCTGTGCTATATGCCATTACACCCTTCGCCAGATCCCTTTCAATTAAATGTTGTGCTTAACCTGCTTCATCCCACATTGCAGCTGATAGAAAAAGTCCAACGGAGAGCTTGTGCAACACCAGATACAAAACATGCCGAAAGAGAGATATCTTTTCTGCAGTGTCTCCTTTGATTGTTCCACAGAAGATGAATGAAATAACCTCCAACATTATATAAATGTTCAATTCATTCTTTGTATTAGAGTTCGAAAATAGGTAGAACTCTAAATGACTCCCACTTTACTCGCCCATGATTTATGGTAATTGGAAATTGATTGTGACAGGAGCACAATATTAGAAATTTTCTCAAATCACAATCTTGTATCAAGGGAAATATTCTTTTTACTGCGCCAAGTCCTGGCCAGTTTGGAATTAGTTTCTTATTTCCTTAAGTGTGATGAAACACTAAGTGCCTGTAGGACATTATATTAGTATTTTAACCAGTAGAGAAAAACTATGAAATGTAGAAAAAGTCCTATATTGATGCCTCTTATTAAAATCATATTTTTTTTATATTTCAGACTAATTAAAGTGAATGGTTTATATACATGGGATGAGCCATTAGTTGAAGACAATATAAGATTGCTTCCCCTCTGAGAGGCTCCTTGTAATTAGGCCGACATTTATTACACATCTGTAATCTCTAATTTTCAAGGGCATACTTTCTTATGTGCCAGCCTGGGCTCCATAAAGATCACATGATGAGGCTTGATTGGGATTCACTGAAGCGGCAGGAAATGTTGCCAGCACAGGAGCTACATCTCTGCAGCCCACATGCTCTTTAAAAACAATCCCCCATAGCACCCAGAGGTGACAGACTTCAACACAACAACTGATGTTCACCTTTTATTTATTTATTTGGCTGTTGTTTGCCGGCCATAACATGTACTGCATTGCATTAACTTTTAGCACTGTCAATGTCGTATCAGTCAAAGCAGCTTTAAAGCGGGGCGTCCTGGGCCGTGGACTGAGGGGAGAAGAAAATTAGCCGCGGTGACAAGTCTGAAGTGTGAGCTGGAGGTCAAAGGTGGCGAGCCTTAAGCAAAGGTGCACTAGCCTTTGTCCGGTAGATTGTAAGGGCCTGCGGGTCCAACAGGAACATTTCCACACACAATATCCCCGAGCTGTCAGTGTGCAGCGGCTGGAACATCCTCTCAGAGAGAGGGGGGAGCACAGGGGCAGAGGCAGCAGAGAGCGCAGGGAACAGTGGCCTGAAGATCCGTGCACAGAAAGAGAGAAGGGGGAGGGAGGGAGGTGAGGGGTGGAGGTGGGATAGAGCCAAAAGAGCTGGAGTGGGAGGATAGAGAAATAGTGAGGGGCGAGGAGGGGCAGGGGGAGAGAGGAGAGACAATGACAAGTAGGGCCTGGCTGGGCACTCACCCATGCCGACAGAGATTGCCATGAGCCATGGCCATTGTTTGAGCGGGGCTCAGCATAGGACCTGCTTGTGGGCTTCCCACTTTTTAGCACTCCACTATAAACTGCTGTGTGGTTTATTTGGAAATGAGAGTATTTACACCTTTTACTGTATTTACACCCACTGTTAAACGGCACCCGGGAGACCTCCATCACACAGCCACAAACTAGCAGCCCAGCGCTTTCCCTGCAAACTGAGCAGCTTCGTCATAAGGCTGCAGTAAAGCTTAGCTTCACATGTCCCATATAAAAGGCCGCTCACACGGTGACCTGCACAAGTGTAAAAACACTTTACAGCGGGGAGGAGAGAGACGCCCTGTGTGTTTAACAAAGTAAATGTCTATTATTAATACCATACAGGATAAGCCAATTTTGAAGTGGGGGCACTTAAATGGTACTATTATTTATTTATAAGTCCTGTACACCAGTTAATGGAATTGGCGGCCTGCTTTAGATCCACAACACAGCTTGAGGTCCACTTTGCAGTAATGCACATGCTAAGGGAGGACCTTCCCAGTAGGGTCTTTAAGTGTCAAATATGGGTCAGTCAGCTTGCGTTGACCTGGGGGGTGGTCAGCAGTGGAGAGAAATTCAGCTGTTAAGTGATGCCAATTCAACCATCGGCAAATTCCTCCAAGCATCAACTCATGCTAAGATGCACGTCCAAGTGCGGCACATCGCTGGCCAGCGCCGCTCTGGCCAAAAAATCCATTTATTCTTGTCATGAACTATAAACTAGACCGGAGCTGAGACGGGGCTGTTGTTGAACAGGCTCTTAACTTCTCTGCCGCTGCATGACTTTTCACAAGTCTTTCTTTTTTACCACACACTGGTTCAGCTGTCTTACAGTTGTTTGAAATAAACTGTTAGCACTTTTCCTCATGATCCGGCAATGTTTTCTCTTATACTTCAGCAGGCATGCCTTAGAAAAATATATATCTTTTCTAACAACTCTCGGATTACTGTCTCACATTTTCCGTCTTTCCTTTTTCACTGCAACGATAAGTCTCCAGCCCAAATGGCACTCACTCCAGCAACATCTTTTATATTTCAAACACATCACAATTAACAACTTTCTTTCTGCAAATTATGTCATCTTGCATCAGTGTTACCTGTGGCACTATTATTACATTCCTGCGACACATTTTAAGCACAAGAATAGAGCATTATGACCAGCCCGCTGATCTCCTCTCCTCCATTCTTTCTCCTTTTCTCCCTCTCCCTCTCTCTCTCATCCTCACAGGAGCGGCGCGGGCCCCCTGAGCTGCTGTGTGGTCAACGATAGCCCCAGCGAAACGAGCCCCCAGTTGCAGCGCTGCGTCCAATGGCTGCAGGCATACTTCAGCTCGCCGCGCACCATCGGGACCCTGCCGCTGCCCGCCCTGCACCACCCGGTCCTGCAAGGAGGTCCGTCATGGATAAATATTTGCAGAGCCGTGACTGCGATCGGGCTTTCACTCTTAATTGTCAGTTACATCACTTACACTCGCTGGCCCGGCGTGTTATAATGAAGTATTTTATGGCTTTATGGGAGAGGGAGTTCGCAGAGTGGAAGGAGGGAGGGGTGGAGGGGAAAAAAGAAGGGACAAGGAACAGAAAACGCAGAGCTGTAACTTGGTTCAGTAATCTGTGGCAGGCCTCACCACGCGTGTTAGTCTTGGCAAGCTTTTCCATGATTCTTGGCACATTCGTTGAAACTGATCGAATTCCACTCTTGACATTTTGAGGCAGGAAAGGAAGCAGAATTTTTTTTCCCTTTTCTTTTTTTTATTTAATGAGAACATGTGAATGGTGGTAAAGTTTTGAATGAGCGTATTGTAGCCATGGCCAGTCACCTAGGGCGGTTAAAAAGGGAAAAATGCACAATTACTGTCAGCTTGTAGTCAAAACGGTTGGAGAGTTGATGATTGAGGGCACAGAGGAAACAAACTAGGGATTAATTGTCCCTTGTGTTTGTTCTCGGGAGCAAAGAATAGCGTAGATTTGACAACTCATTTCTGAAGTCATATCTCAATGCGGTATTTTTATCTCAAACTATCTCAAGCTTTGTCAAACTGCTACGCTTGTTGCATTTTAACTTAAATACTTTGAGATGTGCTCATTTAGAGGCAGAAGCACACCTACACAGTGTAAAGAAAATAACTAATGTATGCGTTTAACAATTGTGCCTGCCTTCCTCTGCAATCAGGCCTTAGTTGCTCTCTAATTTCATGCAGATCTGCAGTGCTTGAGTGATGGCATTTTCAATGAGCAGGTAGTCCATCGAGACCCTGTATACAGCTATGAGTCCCACGCTCCCGCAAAGGCAATGCAGAAATACATCAGGACCAATTACGATATCAACTTTCAGTGTGATTCCCTTCGCCACCAAGTGCTTGTGTACCAGCCCCGGGCTCTTTCAAATCGCATCTCATCTCAAGTCTTTGGGGTTTTAATTAAATTTCAGGATAGATGGAATTCTTCATTAGTACCTGATCTGAATAGGTGATTGTGCCGTGCTCCACCTCTCTCCCTCGCCTGTTGTTTTGGGGCTGGGTAAATACTGGATTTAGGCTTGGATTGCTCTCAGTAGTCAGAACCATAGGCCATGCCAGAGTAAAAATGTTAAATGCGTGCATCTAGAGTATTTGTCTTTTGAGGGATGAAAATAATAGATTTTTTTTAGTCGATTCACGAAAAATTAAGGATTAAATGTAGCCTGTCTGCTCTACAAATTCCTTCTACAACTCGTCGCTGGCGTCTGCTCAGGAACAAAATACAAGTTTAATCAGGTCATTACAATCTGTGACAACCAACTTTTGTTTGCACAGTTATCTTGGGGGAGAGCGCCAACGAGGCTGCGCTCCGCAGCACTTGTCATGTAATATTGAGTTGTGACCTTCACTTGAAGTGTTGCCATGTTTATTTACACATTTCTGACAAAACAAGCCACTTTTCATATTAGCTGTCATGATATAGCCGCGCTACACAGGTGACATGAAAGGAGACGCGAGGTGCCATGCTCTATAGTGTCACACAAAACATCACACACAAGTGGAGCTGTCGGAGGCACAGTGCACGTGCACACAACTCTGGCATTGTGTTTGGTTGTGCACGCTCCCAAAAACACAGACACTTCTTAAAACGATGCATATTCTTATCTCATTAATTATACATCCATATGTAACAGACAAGAGGATCTTAGTGTCGGTAAGCGGCGCAGAGAAAGTGAGGGAGGGAGGGGGCGGGTGTGCGGAGGGGGAAGGGCGCTCTTCAAAGCCCAAATGACTGTGTTCCTGCAGGAGCCTGATCTCCCTCTGTGCAGCGCGCAGGGCGAGATGAGACACTCACCAGGACTCGCCCCTGTGATGTGGAGAGGAATTAGGGAAATGAACGTTTTCAGAATATCGAATAATCAGAGAATCATCAGCACCCCGTCAGCCTTCAAAAGTATGGATCCCTCCAGACTCCAGAGACACTTTGACTGGAAGTCAAAGTCTTCCCTCCCATTAGACACAAAGGATAATGAGGTGCTTGGATTTCCACTATTGTCTTTTTATTCTCACAACCATGTGTAAGGTGACTGTCAGCTGGAAGTCATTGCCCTTATCTATTGCTTTCATTAGCAAGGCTGATAAAATTCAATTTATTGTTTTCCCTTTTTGTTCTTCTCCTAAATTGCTCTCACATACAAAATTATGAGGTGATCAATCATAGATGTCAATATGATCATAATCGCTAGAAGCCTTCGATTGGAGCGCAGGTCAGTCTGTCCCTGCCGCTGCTCTGGCCCTATCAGCAAGCCTGGCAGCAGGTAATGATCTGTGACATAATTATGGGATGTCTGTAAACATGTAAGTGGTTCCTCTCAACTTTTATTTAAACAATTGACTCCAGTGAACCCCGATCTAAAGAGGGTCCTGACCTCAGACACAGTGTATTAGGCTCTTTATGAAGTATGGGGCTGGGGGACTGCTCTCCAAATCAGTGCTGGTCACCTCACTGACCCGCCTGCAGTCTCTGTCACTAGCACTGATGGGGGCAAAGTTCTTTAACCCCTGCACCGCTGATAGCAGCACCCACACTTGTTTTCCCCCAAACTGTGGAGCTGTGAAACCTGCAGCAGAGAGAGGTGTAAACAACGCACCGCTTGTTGCTCGCTCAGAGAAGTAGCTGAGTGAGTGCCGCCTTGACACTGACTTTGGTTGTTTGTCAATAACGATTGCATCAATAGGGATTTGTCTTACCCATAGTGTGGGCTGTGTCTCCATACCAGTGACAAAGCGATATCTGTAGCGCACATCATGTGGCCAAATCCGGCTTTATGAGGAGGAATAATGCATAAAAGACATTTCCTCATAACATTAAGTCTGTCTGCGTAAGAGCCCGTCATCTCGCTGACAGCGTGATTATTACCTGAAAAATTATTAAACAGTACCTACGGGCCTTGTTCAAGACAAAGAACTCACATGGGTGCGCATCAATCAAATCTATCCCCTTTAGGTTTTACACTTATTCCCCCCAGTTTAGGCAAATTGCCTTGTTCGCGTGGCTTTGTGTAGCGGAGAGTGACTATAAGGTAGCAAGGGAGCCTGGGGAGCAAAGAATGTTCACTGTGTAGAAGAGAGACAGGAGGGTGACATGTTTTCACACAATGCCAATTTAGAGGGATTTCTCATAGATCACTTGTCATGTGCTCTCTTAGACCATATAAATGAGAGAGAATGGGAGATCACTAATTGAATTTTCATGACTGAGTATGTATATACAGTGCAGACAGACTTTGAGTCCCTGTTGATAACGAGACTATTGTTTCAGTTCTTGTTCTTTGCAAAAAAAAGTGTTGTTCAGTAGATACATGTGCAGAGTTTGTGTCTGCAGCTTTCCCAATGTCTCACATTCTTCTGTGCCCTGTGCTATCAGCGCTGTACAAACAGGCCTTTCAGACGCCGCCTGCTAATCCAGAAAAAAGATAATGCTACTGCTAACGTGCTAATGAAATCAAAGCCGTTAATGTGGTCGCTTAAGCTCTGCATGATTTGAAGAATTCTGCCATTTAAGTGAAGATGATATAATGAATCTACTCTGAATAGAAAGCAATTAAAAGGACAAATTGGTCTGATTAACCTCAAAGTCATCCCGTCTCTACAAATGGTGTGCAACATTCAAATTATTATTATTAAAAATCTGGAGCAGATTTGCAGTCTTTTTGGCCTCTCTTAATCCTTTTAAATGAAGGAGCGAACTTTTTTAATTTTAGCTGTGACCTTTCAAACATAACCCAGATTTTTCTGCTGAAGAAATGATTTTCTCACACCAGCTACTATTGCATGTTAATGCTGCTACTAAGGTCAAATTGAGGGACATCTATGTATATAGCTGTTTAATGAATTTAGTCGAGGATAAAAAGGACTGACTCTGGGTTGAGTTCAGGTTCCCCTGATTAGAAAGTGTAATGTAGTGTAATAGTCAAACATGTGATTTGTGTAGTTATGTAAGCTGCTGATGTCTGAGGATATTCCACGGCTCTTATTAGAACCAAAACAGAAGCAGTAAACATGTTGAGACGAGCTTGTTGTGGCTGTCAGCTGCTTGACTTTGATTGATTAAATGAAGTGCTTACTCCTCTTGTGTCCTGTGCGTGTTGCCGTAGATGCCTTCACGAGCTGCGTGCTGCACACTCTGCTGAGGGACGTGAAGCTGGGCGAGACGGTGTCGTACAAGCGGCTGGCAGAGATGGCGGGAAACCCCAAAGCGGTGCGCGCGGTGGGAGGGGCCATGAGGAGGAACCCGGTGAGTGACTGACAGTGATTGACAGGCCTCTCTCTTAGTTACTCTGTCTCATACACACCACTCACTCATTTACATCACTTTCAACAGTTTATTATGCTATGTGTGATGCTGCAGATGTTAATGGTTTATATGGATTTCACTTTTCATGGCAATTTTGAATGCTATAGTGAATAATAAGCAAGCTTCTATAAATTCACTCACACAAGTTTTTTCTAGTACAGTACATACAGCAAATTTAGAATATGGAGCCACAAGGTCATGAAAATGTTAATGCCAATCACAATTCCCTGGGCAAAATTTAATCTTGTTTAGTTTACTAATAATAAGGGCTATGGTCATGTACAAGTAGACCTCATATATTAACATTATGAAAATATAAAATGTTTTTTATTGTTTATTCAGATGTTAGCTCTAATTACAAAAACAGATTCAAAATCAGAATCCCAGTGTAGGCGGTTTGTCCAGCACAAATGAAGAATTCTGTCAATGAAAAGAGGTGATTTTGCCCACGTCCTGACTCTTGATGTCTGTGTCCCTATTGTAGGTAACCCACTTTAAACATAGAGGCCAGAGACACCAGGATGTACTGTAGTGTAGGAGGAATACATGTACTCTGTAAGGTTGGAGGAGTATATGTACTCTGTAGTGTAGGAGGAGTATACGTACTCTGTAGTGTAGGAGGAGGACATGTACTCTGTAATGTAAGAGGAGTACCTGTACTCAGTATTTTATGAGGGGTACATGTACTCCGTAGTGTAGGAGGAGTACACGTACTCTGTAGTGTAAGAGATGTACATGTACTCTGTAGTGTAACAAGAGTACATGTACTCTGTAGCGTAGGAGGAGTACATGTACACAGGAGTGAAAGGGCTGAAAAACACCTCGGAGCAGAAGTCTACCTACAGCACCACTCTGAGCCCACACCTTTTGTTCCCGTCTTTGCTGTAGATGTTAGCCGTAAATCTCCGCTTCTTGTAGGAAACCTGGGCCGCATCTTTTCGCCCATGATTCCACTGTGTACAAAATGGAGGGCTAGAGGGCAAGTGGTGTGTCTTCTTTTGATCAAACCCTGTGATCAAAGGCCGTTTAGCTCTGCCCATGTAGTGCTGTGGGCACCACGGGTGTGAGAGGAGACGCTCTGCTGTCTGCACTCACACATCCTTAGCCTGCCTCATGTCTTTGCTCCTACAATAATACAGCCTATTATTATATATATGTCAACAAACTGTACAGATATATGTGCTTGTATTTGCCGAGGTACTGGACATGTTATTATCCCTGTTTTTAATTACTGATTATGGTTTTGGTTTTATTCATTTCCCTTGGTTATAGTTTATTTTGTAAGTTGATATTTTCAGGTATAACATATTTTTTTTATCAACTTTTTGAACATAACCCAAGCATTTAAAGTTATTTTTGTGTCACATTTTGCCTTCACATAAAAAACTAAAATACTGCCATTATTAAAATGTTGTTTATTTGAAGCTGTACATGACTTTTTCCATTAAAAAAGCTGCGTACCTCTCCTCTTACCTCCATACCTTCCCTCTCACCCTGCTCCTGCTGCTGCCCGCGCTCTTCTCAGGCTCATGTTTTACAGTTGCAGCGCGCCGTGGTCGGGGAGGCTGGGAGCGCGCGGCCTCAGCTCTCACAGATCCACAGTCAGATTGTCAGTGTCAATTACTTGTCAGTGTGCGCCGCTCCACTCGGGCTTCTGCTTCTGCGAGGAGCTCAGTGCGCCCCATCGATCCTTGCCTCTCTGTGGTACCTCCCCTGCACCAGGATTTGAGTATTGATAAGCCCCGGCGCAGTGCTCTTTTCCCCCCAAGTGAAGAGGCAGATCCGGAGGCCTTGAGGGTACCCCCGCGCTGCCTCCAATCCCGGGGAACAGTATTGATCCAAATACTGGAGCTGTATTTCTCTGTCTGCAAGGTTAATCTGGGGCTCGGAAAGTTTTATTGCTGTTGATATGGGAGAGGGTTTAATGATGGATTTGGACTGTAACATGCTGCATGCTCAACTTTTTTCTCCCCCCACTCGCTCTTAAAAGGCGCGAGGTGAACACCAGGGCTGCAAGAGGAATCACTATCGAATCGAAATAGGAACTGGACTGGTTACAATTAGCAAATCAAAGGTTGTAGTTATTTACGGAGCACCATGTCCTCTGCAAACAATAAAATATTCAAGTCTTTTGTTGGCTCTAGTTATGTTGAAATTAACCCAACAAACATGTTCCACAATGCATTTGATTCTTGTATCAGTTCAGCAGTCCATAATGAAAAGTTCAATTGCAACAAAAGAGCTGTTGAAAAAAACTAATCTAAATTTTGAATGCAATAACACTATTAAACCATCTTTTCCTGACAAAATTCCTCCTTTATCTTCGCTAATCTCTCATCTATAATGTAACAACAAAACAAATTCACTTTTCTATCATTTTAAAACAATGTCTCTTTTTGCAAATCAAATGTTAATACTTCAAGACTTTGAAAAAATATGTTCCGCACACGTAATCTCAATTTTGAAACACACATTTAAAATCAAATCACACTATTAAAAAGCCACTATCGCATATTTTCCCCAAATCTTCCAGCCGCAGCAAACGCATCAAATAGAGAAAAATAAACTCACGACCGTGCCACTGTTTTCTATCTCATACATCAATAATAAAAACGGGGTCGCCGATAAGAATATTCTACAAGAAATAATTGCCGCTATTCTCCGCTGTGCTCAGAATCCACAATGATGGAAGTGTTCTAGGCTGGGCTTGTTTAATCTTTCTCCAGCCATTTAGTTTACAAAGAAGTCGGGACCCCCCTGGCAGTCATGTGCAACAAGAGTAAATGCTCCACTGACTTCCTCCTCTTAATGATCACAGGGTTATCAGATCTTAATGTTGACACCCTCCGCATTGAATATTCATCCTGCCGCTGTTTTTGCCCATTAATTTTTGATTGGGTCTTTGCTTTACACTATTAAAGAGAGGAAAACATTGATACACCAGGACTGAGCTTATCACCCTGAATAGAGACACATACGTGATCAAACCAAAAAGGCAAATGGTTCGATGGCAGCGATAAAAGTGAAGCAATTGACAATACATGTTACTGTAATTGCTACATCAATATATTTGGGGGGCATAATATTAAGCTCTGTCTTTTACATTTTTTATCTTTTATTCACCTTTTTGTCATGTGATAACATTTTAGTATTTTAGTTAGGTTGAATAATTAACATAACTACTTATTTATGTATATGGATCCCTATTAGTTGTTTCTGTGGTTGTCACTGTGTCTTCCATGGGTCTATCACAATGTTCTATGACCCATTATAGATAGAAACTACTAAAGTGATTCACTGTGCTGTTTATGTATGGTGTATTTAGAAAAAGGTTGACTGTGATTATCCTGAATTAAAGTTATTTTAACAGTGCCATACAGTCTTTAATAAATTCTAATATTTACAATTATTGGGATGTGGTCTGTAGTTATTTGCTATCAGGCCTACCTTTTAGTTGGTAAATGACAAGCTTATATACTGATTAGCATTAGTAAATACTGTTAATTTTGAAATACTACTTCCTTTTAAAATGATGCTAGTGGTTTTAAGGAAAAAAAAAAGAATGTGCCTCCAAGTGTATGAATCTTAAGGGCAAAAGGGATATTTTTGGGTCAAATTGAGATGTGTTTACCACATAAAAGCTTAAAATGAGTTCTGTTTGCTGCCAAAAAGATTCAACTTGCTGTTATTGACCAAGAGCCAAGCAGTTATCTCTGAGCATAGAAGAGTAAAAGGGCACTAGTGCATAAAACTATTAAATAAAAATTAAACATCAAATTTTAATGTTACAATTCCTGTTAGAATAAACTTTTATTTACCTAAAGTCACACTAATTATTCGAATTATGGCATCCTGACATTACACTTTTGTAATTATTGTTTTTTTTTTTCTTTGTGACGTACAAAAGTGATTTAAATGAACTTAAACTTCAATAATTTAAGTTTATTTTGAGTTTTGAAGTATTTAAATACATATTGATGATGTCACTTCTAATATATTTAGCTAAATATACTATATAAGCTATATTTGCAATTGAAAAAAAAAAAGACTCATTCATCTCTATGTAGAAATTATTTTAAAATTTGGAGCCACAAATGCATTTATTAATTTTTTGTTGCTTGTGCTACAGATTTTGACCCATCTCCAGGTTTTGAGCTAGGATCAAGATTTCCTGGCTGGAGGACTAGCATGCGTATTTTGGGATTAATGGGGGAAAGCAGATACTTCGCAAATGCTTTTAACTTATGATGATGTGTTTTTTTGTACATACTGTTCTTATGATGGTTTTTTTGTTTATTTTTCGTATATTAAATTGCCTTTCTTGTACAAGTTGCAAATAGAACTATGAATTATTTGACTTTTGGTAACCTTTTCTCCCCATATAGTGTAACTGCACCCTTTACATTTTTAAAACATTTAAAACTCACTCTCTTTCTCTCTCTCTCTCTCTCTCTCTCTCTCTTTCTCTTTCTCTCTTTCTCTCTTTCTCTTTCTCTCTCTTTCTCTCTTTCTTTTGCAGGTTCCCCTCCTCATCCCATGCCACCGCGTCATCTCCAGCAGCGGACAGAGCGGCCCGTACATGGGGGGCAAAGGCGACCACCTCAAACAATGGCTACTTACCCACGAGAGCCAGTGAGCTTCAAGAGACAGCTACCCAACCCAACTGTCCTTCACCCAGTACTACACACTCATACACACAAGCACAGAACACAAGGCCAGAGAACAAAACACCACCATAAACTTTAGTCGATTTGGCACCCGCTGTGGAACAACTGCAGCTACTTGTAAATATTCGCTTTATATTCTTTTTAATTTTTTTACAATACAATCTAAGAATAGAGATGCTGCATAGTTAATGCGATAGTGCGAGTTGTTGCAGAATTAGAACATACAAAAATAACTTAAACAGAGAACAGTAGGCATTACAAACATATGCTCCCGTGGGGTCCTGGTTGCGGTTGCCAGATAGTGTTGGAATGGTTTTTCTAAAGCATTATTATTCTCTTAAAAATACATCTCTTGCGTTGTTGTTGTTGTGTGCGTATATTTTTTTCCTCCTCCTAAGCAGAATTAGTCTTTGTACCTCACGTTGTTTTTTTAATTTCCTGCCAAGTGAATGCTTTGTTCAACATCCAATGATAAAAGCTCTGAATTTTTACTCATACACAAAGCTTTGTAGTGAAGCAATTGTTTTTGTCTTCATTTAGATCTCATTGTTTTCTCTCCCTTCCACCTAGTCTGCAAGTTTACATTGTATATGCTGTTCTTGTCCTATCAGATGTGTTGAAATAAAACATCCTTACTTGTCAATCCCTACCTTTTATCACCTTAATTGTATTTAATATAAAGTGTTTTTTTTGTTGTTGTTTTTTTTGCTTGTTTCAATCCTAGTCTCCCACTTAATTATGCCGTGTGTGCTCCTCGCTCACAGCTCCTCTCTCTCAGCCGTCTGTATCTTGAGGAGTGTTTCCATTAGAGGGCAGTACAGAACGGGAAACAGGAATCAGCGGTTCAGCCTTGAATTCCTCCTGCACATTTAATCTCCAACTTAAATGTTTATGTGCTGCTTTATTTTCAGAGCAACACCATTTAATCCCTCTGGGCAGAATTATTTGGGGTAAAAAGACTGTTTAAAAAGGCCGGCAGTGGCAGTGTGTGTGAAAAAGACTTTCAAATGTCCGGGAATTTTCTGTGAGAATTATTCTTGACAATCTAATATTGACAGCGTAGTGTTTTTTTTTTTTTTTTTTTTTTTGGTGTAATCCTTTCTTCTCCTGACTGTGTAATGCAGTTGGAGTGACCCTTCTGGCCTGCTGTAACTCCTCCTCTGTACAGCCCAGGTAGCCTAATAATGCATCCTCCAAAAATAACCTGTCTCTAACCTTTACACAGCCCATTCAAGTGGCCCACTCACTGAATACATTTGAACTTAGCTGCATGTTTGAATGTGTTATGGGTGTACGAGTTGGTGGCTGTCTGGCGCTTCTCTACTATTGGAGCAGAGTGTGGATGTTGAAGCAGCAGACAGGCAGATGAAGAATGGGCCTCAGTCTGTGCCTTCACACAGGGCTAATGATGCCTGTGGTGACTACAGGCTACAGTCAGCCCCCTAACGAAGGAGCTGTGACACAGCCACAAGGGGTCCCATTTAAGGCAGCCACACTCTGAAGTGCACTGTAAGCACCCTCCTTTTTGCTTGTGGCTAAGTAAATTCTATGGAATGCTATGAATTTAGCTGCTGAGATAGTGATGTCTGTAGTGCAGCTCTGTTCATGTTGAAAAACAAGTCCAGCTTCAAAGCTGCATGTGCTGCCAGTAATTGGTGGTGTAATTGCGTAGGTACCGAGGATTCTCTTCCAAAAAATTCACTTTGTATTCCTGCTTTCCTTGTGGTGTTTCAGTGTAGAACATGGTTAGCACTAGTAGCACTATTTGTGTATTATTTTGTTGTGTACCATTTCCATAGAACTCTGGCCCAACATAAAACAGAATTAGATGACAGAGTCAGAGACATTCTCATCATCTGTGCTGTTAATCGCTGTGAAACCTTTCATTTTGCCCTGATCCGTGCCTCACTTCTTTGAGAGACTTTGCGCGTGTGTGTGCATGTTCGCGTGAGCGAGTGGCCGTGCGTGTGTGCACATGTGTATGTCCATATGTGTGTGGGTGAAGTGGATGATATTGAGTCTGACTTCATAAATCACCCAGACACTGATAAACTCCCCATGCACCCACACACCGCTAATGGGCAACCCTTAAGGAGTGTGAGTGTCTCGTGCGGCGTTTGATTCAACATTTATTAACCCCCTCACACACACACACACGCACGCCCGCTCACTTCACGCACACACATATCTGAGCCCAGAAAAGACAGGATACGCTTGGTGGCATCCGTACACTTACAGCCAGGTTCTGAACTGGCCGTGCTGTATTAATCATAGCTCAGTACTAAGATACATTCAGTTTATACAGAACAACTAGTGCATTTCTAACTCTGTGGTGCTCCTCATAACTTATACCCTGACTTCAACTCCCCACTTCCCATCTCATATCCTGCACCCTCCTCATTATAGAGCAATTTTCTGCCCCCACATCAGATCCAAACAGCGCCTCCATCTCTAAGTCTTCATACATGTCACCTCATCATTCTAATCTCATCATGGCCCTGCTAGAGGAGCAGTGGCTCGACTTAATACTGTAGCTACACGACAAAAGACACTCTTATTTCCCAAAGTTTAAAGTCATAGTAGTGAAAGTTTTGTGTGAGTAAGTGAAGTGTAAGTGGTGCACATAGCTGAGCAGAGCAGAGTGTGTACCATGCAGATAGGCTCAGAGACAGACGCTCTCGTTCGCTGGCTGATAGTGGATAGACAGACATTAGGCTGCATGGGGCTTGGCTGTGCTATCAGGTTTCCTCCTCTGTGTGGGTCTGCCGGGACAGTCCGCCTCTGTGGCCCTGACACTGAGGCACCACGCAGCCAGCCCCGACAGCTGCCACAGCAGCATCTAATACCAGCACACGCTATGCTACGCTACGCTAGGCCACCACTACAAAGAGCAATAGCACTATAGACAGACATGCCCCTCTTTGATGCTCTGTGATGATCTTTGTGTTTTGAGAGGGCTGCACTCATATGGTGTCTTCTGTGTGTAACGTAAAGAGGCTTTACTTAGTATGTGATGAAGAGGAGGGGTCAGAGGGCTGCTGTGACTGTGAGAGAGTAACCTTGTACTTGTGTGTCATTGTAACCTTGTGAACTGCTGTGTAGCTCTGGCGTGCTGTAATTAGGAGCGGCCATACATAACGTGAGAGCGCAGGCTGCGAGCGCTGCGCCGCATGTATCAATCTGTGCCTCCACAGCTCTTGTCAGCGCGGCCCGGACAGTGTCTGTGCCTGGAGAAAGTGCAGGTCTAGCCTTGGTCATGTTGACGGAGGGGCGGCACTTCAGAGGCTCCAGGACCCCATGGCACCAGTCTCCCCAGTCCCCCAGACAGACTGGGAGCATCTGGGCTCTGTCAGCGCCTCTGGCCCCTGCAGACTCCGATCTATATGAAGGGGCGAGGAGTGGATTGGATCAGGGAGAAGGAAAATATGAGCCAGATTCCTCAGCCTTTTGCAAATGCATGCCAGTCAGTGTTTGGTGTGTGCGCACCAAGGCTTGATAACAGGTTGCACTGATTAATTTTGTATGACACGAGATGGGGTTATTGATTAGCTTCTCATGTTGGAAAAAAATCTCCTTTATAAATTGTCCAATTAAGCATTAATTAAAAAGAGTACATCGAAAATATGCACAGCCTGTTCGGAGCAAAAACACATGGTGACGGATGAAGATCACATTGACAGATATCGTTCCAAAGAAAGTGAGGAATGATTTGATCAAGTGGATATAGTTCCAAGGCAGCGCCACACAGAAACTGATACACACACTTGCCAAGTCTAATTAATCCATACACTAAATTAGGAATATAAATTGTGGTCCCAATTTAACAAGGTCAGTCTTAACTTCTCCCTTTACACTTTATTTAACTATGTAGGAGGAAAAAGGCCCTATCAATGTGCTTTGCTTATTATGATTGACGATTGATGATTAAGTCCTCCAGCTGACACACACCAGCAAAGCCGGTGAGTTGGAATTGGATGTGACACATACACAGTTCTGCGTGTTAGGTAATTCGTTGACGAGGGGCCAAATTCATTTATGGAACAGCGGTATTGGCAGGCATGGACACTCTCTGCAAAAACAACGATAATCACAGAGGTTTGGCGCGGCGTGACAAGGACTCTTCAGGGAAAGGCCCTTACACGCTGCTTTGTTGGCCGGTCCTCCCAAGATGTAAGATGGAGAGAAACATCCGCCACTGTTCTTAAGCCTGCTCACAGAGGCACAGGAGGCACTGCTAAACAGCTCTGGTTTAAGGGCCACTGATCAGGGGCTTTGAAATGCACAGAAATGTATATAGATTATAATGAAGTGGAGTTTATGCCCATCACCACCAAAAAACAAAATAATGTCTTTGTTGAAGTGATGATTTAAAAGCCTTGATAGGTCCTGTATAATGAAACATGAGGAAGACCCTGTCTCCAGCCATTTAATCTCTTTTCACTTCTCAATTTTTTCTGCTAATGAGTCTTATTGACAATCAAACAGAAGCTGTCATCCCCCAGGATGCAACACTCCCAGCCCCTGCGTGTTTGTCATAGTGTCCTGGCAATCAGAGCGCCTGCAAGACCAGGCTGGCAGTTAGTGGTTCTCACAGCAGCGCTGCCTGAAAATGGCACACTTCCTGTAGAGTTGCAGCTGCCACCTCTGCTACTTCCATTACTTTCTATAGCATGCAGATGTTGTATCAACATTCCCTGCCAAGGGGACTGCAATAACTGTGAGATTCATGCCATGTTTCAGAGGCACGTCAATTTCTCAAGTGGCACAATTAAAGAGGGAAATACAGTACGGGTTTTCACAGGCGCTCCAATCGGAAAAGGGCTTTTTCACTTTTTTCCAATGGGGGCTGTTTCATAAGGTTCAGAAATCCACCCGATTTTTACTGGCCTTTTCCTGAGTGGAGCAGCTCTGTGCGCCTTTGTGCGGCAGACCTGTCGTGACCCACAGCGGATATGGAAATGGGGCTAAGGTTTTATGGGCCAAACGGATTGGACACAGTCAAGCTCAGGGGGCATGAATATTGGATGTTATTTCTGCTCCCTTTTTATGTAATCCATTGCCAATACATTATTAATAGATGATATCATATCCAGAAGTACTGGACAAAGCACTACAGAGGGGCACTATGAAAGGAGCTCTATGTGGTGCAGAACATACCCTCACAGTGATATTATTTTATCACTGCAGCCTAACATTCTCTGACCAGCCACTTCTCTGCTCTGGATCATTTTTTGGGCTAAGTGAAGTTCATAGAGGGAAAATCTGGTGAACAGTGCCTCCCTACCAGGGTTAAATCCAGCATTTGTGGGCTTGAAACGCTCTGAAACATTGATGAAGTATCAAATGACACCCAAATACAAGTTTAATGGATTTTGAAGCGCTGGGATACTTTGCTCATCCTCTCGACTCGCAGTGAGTGAAGTGGAAATCTTTTGCCAGGATCTCAAGTTTTTCCTTGCAAAAGCTGACTCCCAGTGTACAGTAGCAAGGGAGCACTGTCTTATCTGATGTAGCGATTCACAGACAGGAGGCTGTGCAAATGTGGGACTATGTTATAAAAAAGGGTCACATCCCCTGTTTTCATTCAAATGCACAATTGTTCAAAAAAGGTCAGGCTTCCTATTTGAATTCATTGTCATCTTGTCGTTTTGATCTGCTTTGGCTGTGCAGTTTTTATGAACCTGTATCCTACTATTGTTCCTCCTAACTCCTAACTTTACTGCAGTTGAGAAATATGGTCTTTGTCATTTTGAAGTATACTTATGAGCTACAAGTTGTGAAGTCAGGCTTGTACTAGCTTGATTTTGTGCACTTAAAGGTGGTAATAAAAAGTCGACATATTAGGCGAGTGACAAAGCGAGCGGATGCGTAAGGTAATATTCAGTTTTAAGGTCAGTTTGAATTGTTTTTTCTCCTGGGGAAACCACAGATTGATAAAGACCAAACAAAACCTCTTCTGAATGCGTGTCCTCCATGGCCTCAATGAAGGTTTCATTCCTTTATATGGTCCAGCCCAATTCCCAGCATGCGCGGCCATTGTGGCTCTTTCAACTGCTACTCTCCATTGACTGGCTCATTGTCCAGCATGTCTTTTGTGTGCCGCTATCACCGGAGCACAATCTTTCACCTGAACGCCACCGCAGCGCAGCCTGGAAGTGGTCACGTAAGGCCACAGAGCAACAAGCCCGACATGTACGCAATTAGCACACTGCTAATGAAAAAACGGGTTTTATTATTCACTTAAAGTTAAATCTACTACTTTTATTAGGGCTGTTATTAGTCACGCTCCTGCAGCTTGCATCAGACAGAGATATCCAATATTACTGCACAGGCGTATATTATTGAGAGGAGACTTTTTAAAAATATAACAATGCACAAGCAGATGTTTGAAGCTTGGCCCTGGGCTACACAAGGCTAGTTAAGATCAATATTGCTTTCAATATTTCTTTCCTTTGACAGATAACCGGTACAGAGGAAAGTCTTGATAAGAGTGGCAACATATGGATGCGGCGTGCCTCGCTTCCTTTTGATTGTGTGACCCTGCGACCTTTGCCTGTGTCTGAGAGCGAGGCACATGCTTCGGTGGGGGTCTGTCAGGCTCTGGTTATGGGGCATTATTGACCCAGGATTTATAAATATTTAATGCACACATTAAGATCATGGTGGAGGGTGGCCATTAGAGTTCTCCAATAAAGAGGCTCTCACGATGATTGAGTGGTATGGCAGAGCCAGGGGCTGCTACACAGAAACCTGCTGAGACAATATACTGTACCTCCAACCCGCTGCCAGCCTGGGGAGCCCCAAAGTGCCAACTGCCGCGCACATTTTCCACTGTTTTAGCTTTTAATGAAAGCATCTCCAACACTTCTTAAAGGAGACAAGTCTGTACCATTGAGAGGGGGAGAGCGCAGTAAGCAAGGTGATAGATGGTAAGTGGTGTATGTGTTTCTAAAACAGTGAAGGAGCAGATGTGTGCCTATTGTTATCACACACATTGGATTATCGGGGGAATGATTTGAAATGAAACAGCTCTTTGAGTGTATCTGTCCTCGGCACTATCAGCAGCGTTGCCAGATCCATGCATGGCGCTTGACATAATAAGCTGTGATATGCTGATTGCCACTCAGGTTGAGGGCCTTTAATTGTGCATTAAAGAGAGAGGTGGCAGCGGACAATGTTGCCTTGATGAGAAATTGACATTTTGTGACCTGCTCTCCATGTCCACTCACGATGCCAGATAAGATGCTCAGTTGTTTTTAAGGAGAGGCCTCATTCTTCCTGCGAACACTTGTATCAGTCCGTTTGACCCACTTGATGAGTATAGATTTCATAGTGCCCCCCTTTCAGCGCTCCAGCTATGAGAGGTTCAAAACGATACCATGCCTTATAGACAAAGGATAACCTTGCTCTTTCAGTGTATTGATTCTTTATTAACTAGGTGGCTTAATGCAATGAAATGAGGGATTTGAATGAGCCCATTTGGCCTGCTTTGAATAAAAAGCCTGTTTATGAATGACTACAATAGCCTTTGAAGAGCTACAGATGCAGGATATGCTGATACAGGGACAGTCAGAATGTGTCGCAATGTCAGAGGCTAATGCACTTTTTCACCTTTGTAAACATCTAAACTACAGCCACAGACCACTCCACTTCTGTCTGTCTGTAAGGCCTGACTGACAAACTGCACCTAAAGAAGTCCACAGTTGAGGGGCTAGTGTGTTTTTTTACTGAAAATTTTAATAAAACATCACTTATTCATTTCTGTTTCCATTCCAAATGTTGACATGTTTAAACTTTCTTCCCTGTAAACACATGTAAGCTATGTGGCAGAGTCATAAGTGGTGAGTAAAAATGACTTCTATACATTCTACAAAACAGAAAAATACAACCACAGATGGAGTGATTTTTCTCCAAGGTTGTCCCTCATGCACATTAGTCTCTATTGGATCTTAACAACTATCATATGGGTCACAAACAATTTATTTGACAATACAACCAACAAAGTTTTCTCCAAAATGGTCTGTATAGATAATTTAAAATCAATATAAAAATAAACAATGAAGTTTGACTTCCCCTTTAAAAAATGGACAGAGAGTCTTGATGGAGTAACACAAATTTGGAGGATACACGTGAATATGCACATTGCATTTTCATCAAATACAAAAAGAAAACAAATGAAGGCAACAGTTCTTGGCTGAATTATCTGTGCTGCATCACTATATTAAGGGCATGACGATTAATACATACATAATGAAAAGCAATATACAAAATTTCAGAGATAAATACATATTTATAGTTGATATGTTACAAAATTTCCCTCAGTGAGCGCAAGTGTGTATTTGAACAGAAAAATGACAATGAAGTACTATATGTCTACATTCTCAATGGATTTTAATTTTGTTTTTCAATGTTTTTGTTGATCTAAAAGAACATGAAAAAGACAGATGTATAAATATTTAGCACAAGTTTGGCAATATCACAATAGTCTACAATTTTGAACCACATATAAAACACATAAGGGAGTTGGAGCTAGAACGAGAGACTGCTCCTCATCAACAAGAAACAGACTTCACAGTAGCCTAGGAATGCATTAATATACAGTGCTAGCAAAAGGTTGAAAAACATGGCAAAACACACTTGCTTAAAGGAAGCTCTAGACATGGAAGTACATCATATTCATCAACAGAGCAGTGTTTTGTACACGTCAGTGTGCTTGTTGAATCAAAGAGGATTTTTTTTTACTTTTGAAGATGATTTCTAGCTACAATAAATTACAAAATTTAAGTTAAAATGCAGGAATGAAACATGATACAACCTTCCCACCAACCCTCCCGTGTACTTGTATTTGTTGTACTTTAAGCTCAATTTTCTACATTATATATCTCATATATTTTTCCAGTTGAAATTGTCTTGGCCCCTGTGTATTTTTCTCACACATAAAAATACAAAAAAGTCACATTAAAAAGACACACAACTGTTGTGAATCTATTAAAAGAGAGTTGAAACAGAAAAGCTGATTTTCTGAGGCAAACAAGTTCATTGGCAAATGTACTGTACAACAGTGTTTTACTTTACAACCAGGTGTGAGTCCACAGAGTCCTTCCAGTACTGAGCGTGTCATGTGTGAGTGGGCGTGTCCAAGGCCGATGCACAGTCCGACAGTATACAAAATAAACCCTTCATCATCCCGTGTCCTTTTTAAGGGTGCTCCAATGGGAGGGGGAAACAAAAAGTCCCACAGAACAAAGTCCGACTCCAGAAATCCTTCTCTCTGCAGGTTTTTAAGTCTTTTAAAAGAAAAAAAAAAATCTTTCTTTTCTTTTTTCTTCATCTTTAAAAACAGAACAAGCAGTTGACTATACATGACACCAGCAACTGGCTGTGTGCTCAGGGGGTGCCCTGTGAAGTGGTAGTGTGACTGGTGCTTGAGATGACCAAAGTGCATTTACATTGGAGGGACAACCAGGCCGGACATGGCTGCAAACAAAGACAGGAGAGGGACATTAGTTCAAAGAGCTACTAACAGAACATGGATATTTATTGAAATTATTGAAAGCTCTGTAGTACATGCACGTGTATGTGTGTGTATGTGTGTAGGTGTGTGTGTATGTGTGTCTGTGTGCGTGCATGTGCATGTTAGCCAGTGTGTGTTAGTTGTGCACGTCTCTGCTAACGGGAGCGTCTGAAAAGCTCCCTCCTGCTCTGACATTTCAGCCCTCAGCACGCCACTCTTGCTATGTGTGATATTTCTCCTGGCGTTGGGGTAATGGCAAACAGTGGCCCAGACTCCCGGGAGAGTGCGCCATGGTGACGGCGGAGCAACAACACGGTCACTTCCCACAATGCCACAGAGCTGCAGTAGCAGTAGTAGCAGTAGACAGTGGGCAGGCTCCCTTCTGATTCCTTCTTTAATTCGCCTGTCTCTTTCCCTCGCCTGCATCACTGGTACAGAGCACTACTCCTTTGTACCATCGCACATCCACTCACTTGCCTCTGTGTCATTATCCAAGAGACATTAGGCTAGATCAAAGGTAGCTTCAGTTATTTTACCACGACCATCTGCCTAGGATATCATTAGCAACTGTAACTCTCCCTCACAGTTTATATATGCAGTATTTTCACACGTTTTAACAATTAGGCAACTAGTGAAGTGCTGGGATGATATATTATTATATTGCTCTGAGTATATTTGTAGAGTCATGCTTGAAATGCTTTTAAGTTTGCCAGTGCAGATGATGGCAAGGCATTGCTCATTAATTTCTGCACAACATGTATTAATAAGTATGAACGTGTAGCAAGATGAACTTTAATTTCCCACTTCATTAAGCCCAATGTTATTAATCTTGGGGCACACACTACGGCTAAGCTTGTTTTCAAAGCAATCATGTTGGTCATGACACACGCACAAAACCTAATAAACATAATTACTAAAACAATTCGGAGAGGGTCTTTTCCTGCGACTTCAGAGGGGATGTTTGTATCAGAGGGCGTGACGCTGCGTGACTTGTGTGCGTCATGTTTCGGTCATGTACGTTGGCTGTGTGGCTGTGTGTGTGCCAGTGAAGTGCGAGGTGTAAATTGGCCTGTCAAAATGCATATATTGGTAATGATTAATCCCTCACCAAAACGGACAGAGGCCTGAGCAGCGGTATCTGACCAGTAGTCCGTAGGGAAGGGATGAGGGGGTGAGGGGGGCTCACCTTGCAGTCCGTTGCCGTTGGCGCTGGTGCAGGAGGGGGGTGGGGAGGCCTGGGGTCGGACCACAGGGGCGAAGGCGCTCTTTTGTTTAACTGCAGAGACGATAGGGAAGCAAAGGATAGGAGGGAGGGTGAGAGTGAGAACGTGCTGTGAGTAGTGCTCAAGAGGGAGAGGGCAGTTAAGGTAAGACTGGGATAGTATTACTGCCAGGGGGGATACACCACCAGAACTCAAACTGCATTACAGACCCCTACCATCAACATCTCCTCTGCTTCAACAAGTGCAAGTGGCATATGTTGAAAAATACATAAAAGTCTATTCTGTCTCTCTGCCCTGTTCTGAGCACTGCAAACTAAACACGCTTGTTCTTAAATGAATAGTAGTATTATTATCATCAATAACATTACCACCCTGTCAGAAGTGATTCATAAAAGTTAAAACAAATGTTGGAGCTGGAATTAAATCAGCCGCAGCTTAGCGCCGTTACACTGTAGTAGTGGCAAGCTACTCACTTCCATATGGGGAGTTGGCAGAGGATCCGTTGAGGAACCCTGGGGAGCTTGGCACTCCCAGGTTCATACCGGCATTGCCATAGCCATTCATGCTGTTGCTGACGGTGTTGTAGCTGGACTGCTGCGGGGTGCTGCTGGAGATGTAGCCCCGAGGGGACACACTGCTGGTGTTCCGACTGTACCCCACTGCAAAACATGCAAGACAGCACACAAAAGCCAGTCATTTCTCTTGTCTGCTCTGGTTTACAAGGAAACATTCATTGGCCTCACTAAAGGCCTGTATACTGTGTATTTTATCTGCAGATAAATGATATAAATGTATAAATAGAGAATACACACAAAGAGGCAAAAAACAAATAATGTAAATTGTACTAAATTAGGTTTTAAAAAGTTGAATATGTAGAGGAGTTAATAGTGTGAAATGGCTCATTGAAATGACAGAAAAAGTTTAACTATTATTTCATTCTACTGGTGTCCCCCAGAGACCCCCTCCAGGACCCTTGCAGGTATTTGGACCCCACTTTTGAGAGGAGAGTTATGGAGTCCACCCCTATATCACATATGTACCTTGGTCATTCCCTTGTGACTCAGACACATTGACTGCTAGCTGGCTGCTGAAGGAGTTGACTCCCATCATGCCGTGGGAGGCTGTGTTTGCGAGCGAGGGGATCTGGTTGTGGTTGCGAGGAACGCTGTACAGGGCCTCCGCGATGTCAGCTGCCCTCTTCAGAATGATCTCCTGAGAAGCAAGAGAAGCCAGAGGTTTTGTTATTTATGGTGTTTTTATAGCTGTGCTTGGCTTTGAAGCATGGTTCATGGCTATATGGTAAACTCAGAATGTATGAAGCCTACATTGTTCCAGATATAGTGGTGAAAATACCCTTTGGTGGTACTATCAGTAAAAATTCAATGGTTTCTTATATAGCTGTGGACCAGAGGTGGCAGTTGGATGCATACAAACCTGATTGTTGTGGGGCATTCCATACAAGGCTTCAACCAGATCTGCTGCTCTCTTCAGCAACACCTCCTGCAGCAGAAAGAGCGGAGTCAGTGCACAGACCTACACATATGTCCTACCTTATCCACAGCCATGGCCTTAAATGTTTACATTCAGGAGACAAGTCTAAATAAAAGCCACCCTCATTTAAGAGGCACCCTGATGCATTCACACAACATTACTTTGTCTCTCCCATCCGTGCAGAGCAGTGAATAATGTTCCCTATCTTAATTAAACTGGCATAGTCCTTTAAAAACAACACCTCAGCCTGGTTGTGGGCTACACGTTTGCTCCCGAGTTCAGCCCGCGTCCCCTCTCTTCAGAACAATAAAGTGAATTAGCTCTGGGTTAATCTAGTTCTGTTGTAATGACATTAAGGAATTTTTCAATTAACCTCTTTGACTGGCTGTTGCAAAGGACTTCACAAATGACTTCCCATCCAGCAAGAGCTGGGTGCTTTTGCCTTGGGGACACGGATGCTCAGGATGTGGTCTTATCCATGTCTGCATGCTTGCCCCTGCTTGACAATGCGGATTAGCTGTGTTGCTTTGGCTCTTAACACTGAAAATGAGTTGGCCCTGGATCCCGTTCCCCCTCTTGGTTTGGGGCTTTGAGCTAGGTGGGGTTTGGCCCGTTAGTGTCTTTATCTGCTCTTTGAATTCACCACTTACAATTAAATCCCTCTCAAGGAAGCAGACTGCTCGCTTTGTCTTCTATAATACAGAAGGCAATATGCTGTATGAAGGCCTCTCCTCCATTTAGAGTGCATCTAATCTGACAAAGGCAAAAGCAGACATGGCGGTTGCATGTTGTTAAAACGCTTGCTTGTTGTCACCTGCTGTAGAGCAGAGATTTGTCAACTGTGCTGTTAGAACCCTGGTTAAAAGCAATGCAAATCTGTCAGCAGAAACATCTCAGATGGTGCTTGTTTTCTTCCCACATTGGCGGTGTTTTCTTTTGCGGGCCTCGGTAATTTGTCTGAAGTGTTCCATCACTTGGCAATAGCAGTGTGGGATTAAGACGGCAGCTGCCGTAAATGAATGTAAACACAGCCTTCGCGCCTTCAAACAGCGGCCTCCAAGACTTGGCCTGCCTTTCCACAGCACAGCGTATGTAGTGTGTATGGACGTGTATGGGCCTTTCATCCTGAGGAGCATATCTACCACACTCTTGATTTATCAAGATGAATCACTGCAGAAGCCACTTCCAGCGTATGCCATGCTCTCTTATAGAAACATATCGCTTAATCCACCCCAAGTTACCGGATGGGTGGCTCTTAGAATGGGCATTTACCTCTGAAATTGGTGTGTATGCTCAACGTTGCATGCATCTAGTTTGCATACAAATAAAGAATTATGGTTGTCGTGAGGCAGGTAGTCTAAATGAGAGGACCAGCTGTCTTGATGTGTTCTCATCAGGCAGAACAGATTTCTCTCTCTCTTGCTGAGTGAGATAAAGTGGTTTTCTTTCTTTTTGTCTGCAGTTAATAATTACCAATAATCTATTCTATCATATTTCAAGATCTCCTACATGGCTCTCAATTTTAAACAACAATTAAAGCAATTAAGACTGTCGCGTTCGCAGCCATGTTTCATTCTGTGTAAACGTCCTCTGCCTGCTTGTCCATATGGTACTTTGCAGCAGTGACATAAGGACAGCTTGGAGAAAGGAGGAGAGAAAGCGATATTGCCTCTCATCCTTAATCTGTCGTTTACCGCGTGGTGTCTTAACTAACCACGCCGACTCGCAGGGCTATGCTTAAGTGGCAACCTAGTCATATCCGCGCATGATGAGAAGTGCTGCTCCCAATCAAGGAAGAAGTTTGTTTTCTTCTGACGAGGAGCTTTCATGCGTATCGGCTCATGCTGTGAATACGATTAGCGCCGAATAGCGTTCTGAGGGCATTTCCATGTAAATCTCAATACTACTCCAGTATAAGTGTAATTGGCTTTCTTGTCATGGAGACATATCAGAACACGCCATGTTAAATTGAAACAATTAAAGGCCTCAGATGATTTCTGTTGTTGTGTGACAAATGCGTGCCAGATCTGGGCTTTTGTTTGCCTCCTTCTGCATAAAGACCCCATGTTCAAAGAATGGGCTTCTCTAATGACACATCACCTCGAGGAGGAGGCTGTTTGGGGAAAAATGAAAGAAAAGCTCAAACAAATGATGTGTTTTTAAAATGTCAAACAATAGGAGCCAAATGTGAGTCTTGGAGCAGTAGATTAACACAGAGCTTGTATTTATGTTATCACAGTTAATAAAAGAGGGCCTAGGTTATGTAGCTCGGAGTGCTAATGCCATTATAAAACTGTAAGGCAATTACTCTGTTAGCTCTAGCCCGAGGTAATGAATGCATTTAGAAGCATAGGGCCATTAGATGAAGGTACTTCAAAGAGCACAGGAAGAGAGATTCATTTAAATACATGGGTAATTGCTTGACATGAACACATTTGTAATATTTTCTCCTTGTGGATTACACAAGGAATTGGAAAAGAATGGGCTTATGCTCATTTTGGGAGGAAAGAAAGGATTCCAAGGCAATCAGCTTAATAATAAAACAATATTGAGTTTCCACTTTTAATTTCATAATGAATCTAATTTGTTACAGAAGAGAGAAATTGAGTGTGATATAATGTGATATCCAGTCTATTTGTCCATTACTGCCAGAGGGCACAAAATGGTATTATAAATTGTCTTTTTTATATTATGAATGGAAAATTGTTTTATAACAAGATCTTAAAAAGGAGGGTGAATTCCAAAGTCTCTCTTCACTTAACGCGATGCCCGCAAACCAATCTCCTTTCTCATCACTTGACTGCTCACACTTATTACTTTCATATTCACCCTGGACTTTGCATTGAATTTTTATATCTGCACTCCTCCCACAGGGTCAGACTGTCATCTACGATGTTGTCTTAGAATTACGAGGTAAACTTCAATCAGAGGCAGCTTCCCCCTTTTTTCTCTGTGTAGCAACAATATTAGCGTGCATCCCTTGCTATCCATGAGCACTCCCATATTGGCTTTCTGTCTCCTTACAATTACCACGTGTCTTACTGGTCCCAGGGAGAAGGCTGGTGGAAATCAATAGCGCAGTAATATTATCAACTGGAGGGTGAAGTCATGGGGGGGGGGGGGGCTGTAGAGGCGGTGAGTGGGCCTGGTGTCGATTTGCCTTTCTGCTAATGCACAGTGCGCGTCCTCCAGCTTTATCTTCTTTTTATAGAGTCTCGCGGCTCACCTGCACCCCGTAATGGCTCTTCTCTATATGCCGTTTGTGTTCTCATTCCGAATGTACACGGCGCCCCAGCCTGCCGCGGGCTCTTTTATTGGGAATGTGCTTTTGACCCCGAGAGCTGACCCTCAGATGGCAAGCTTAACAATGACGAATCACTCGGCGGGATCATTTACATGCCCCCTGAACCCCATATTTGGGTCCATTAGAGAGCAAATCAAATATTTATGTTGTTTATTGGAAGTGCAGGGTTTCATCTCACTGTGTGATTGTTTCATGCAAAGGCCGAGAGAGCCTGCTATATTAAGTATACACACGCCCGGGAAACTAATCTCAGCTTCAGTGTCAAAATCTGTCTCGCTGCCGAGGAAAGAAGTCAGCCTTTTTGTAATAACGCGCTGTAGAACATTCTTTGTTTTTCACTTCTCTCAGTGTGGATTCTGCCAGGACACTGCAGCTTTAAAATTGAAACAGTGTTGTTAAATTGACCAGCAAAGATATTAAAGGTAAGTGTACTTGAGCTTTAGGTTTACAGTTAAAATTAGAGCAACATTTCATGTCTAGGTGTTGTTTCCGCGCTCCGCAGGGACCAGGTCTAATTGAAACACTTCATATAGTGAACCAGGGAGTAGCTGTGTTGTCCTATTTCTTCACATTGCCTTGGTCAAACGTGTAAAGCTACCACACAGTCTGTTCTTTATTAAATTGTCCGTTGGACGTTAATGATATTGCTGTGTTGCATGCTGGGATTTAATAGATAAGGTCTTTAAAGGTTTTACAGTATTATTAAAACTCGGAGGTGGCCTGCACTTTACTACCTGCCGAGGGCTTTTGAATGTGCTAATCAGTCATATTATTACACCTGACACATCTGGAACGTCACTCACCAAAATGGCTGCTGGCGGGCGGCAATTAGCGCAAACACACATAGATTTGTATCAATAGGAAATGAAAAATATCAAAGGCAAAAGATTCAAAGGAATAACTGCGTGCACCTTACTTTTCCAGGCCAGGTTTATCAAGTTGGCAGCCTATTTATGTGCCACACCGTTGTGTCGGAAAAAAGTGATGTGGCTTTCAAACGCCTTACCCAGGTTCAAAAGAAAAACAATAAGAAAGCCTGGGCATAATAACATGCAGTCTTTGTCTATTAGCTGCAGTAAGACGAGGGGGTTTACGGCACAGGGCTCTGTAAACAAAAGATTAAACCAAATCGAGCTGCAGAAAATGAAAGGAAAACATGAGTGGGGTAATGAGGGTGCAGGCGTCGTTTCTGACCAGATTACCATCTCCACAGACTACTGGAGAGGAAAACGCCTGATTGAGCTATTTTACCACACAGCGAGTTTACGCCTCTCTCCCCGCACTAAACCAATACCATTACCACTCTGGTTAGTGGGAAGCCACATATGTGAGGCAAAGCTGTTCCGCTCCGGGGTCACAGTGCCGGCGCTCATGCTAATGCTGTTTTGTTTATTTGTCTCATTCACGCTACTCCCCATTCTGTTGTTTTCTGTGTATTTTTCCCATACTGACCTTTGGTAACCTCTCCGGGTCGCCAGGGTGTCTGGGGATGACCTTCTGCAGTCTCTGGAAGCCGTAGTCGATGGTAGGCTCATTAAGGGCTGCAACAAAAAAGAAGATGGAAATTAGAAACATTTCGGGGTTAATCTTGTCAGAAATAGGAAGGAGCTAATTGAGAAATCTGTTTACAGTACAGAAGTCATTTCAGAATGCCTAATTTGACAGAAAGCTCAAGGGGAGAGACAGTGGTTTATGAAACGTCAGCCGCTCCCGGGCCCCGTGATGGAAAATGACACTTGTGTCACTGAGTGTTATTCCATTAACAGCCATGATGACCTACATCAGTGTGAGAATTCTTCAGATGAGCTGCCCTCCCCCTTTTATCTGCTCAAGAATATTGACTACAGCAAACTACATAGCTGGGCTCTTTTAATCTAACAGAGCTTTAATAATCTGTGAAAGGCTGTCCACACATTGATCTAGTGTAAGTTGCTGTCATTTCACCCTTCTGCACCGACTGTACTGCAACACTGGCCTGGTGAAATACGGCTGCACATCCCACAGAGCCATTCATCTCACACCCCTCAAACAGTAATCTGGGGCACGCGGCATATTGGCCGATGAATCAGAGCACAAAGTAAATGAATCATAAGGCCGACTTTGGTGAGAGCGGCCCGTTTATGTCTGACAGTCCTAATGGGGAATTGAAGGCTTCCTTAGCGCACAGGCTGATTCTAAACAATCATGTGTGAGTCGCAGACAGGACAGTAGCGAGAGGGAGGGAGGGAGGGAGGGAGAGAGGGAGAGGGCAGAGGCGAGGCGGGTAGGAGGGGGAGACGTGTAAAGGGGAAAGGAACGACTTAATAGAGAACATCACTTCTCAATGTAGATATCATTTTCAGGAGAGTAACTCCGCCGTGCAAGGCGCTTCATAAATCAATGGCTTTCTATGGAGACTAATAAGAGCTGCCTGCCTCTATTCATTGTTCAGCCTGTAATTTGGCCCATCACTCATTACTCAGCATGTAATTTCAGCATTAACACCGCACAGCCCGCTGAACCTGGTGAACACTGAGGATGGGGAGCAGGCCAGCTCCTTCCCGCACACACACACAGACACACACACACTTGTCAGGGCATAAAAATGAGCACTTCTACCTCATACTTTTCCTCTGTTCACTCTGCTCCTAAGCCTGCGCCGCTCAGCTCTGTGTGTCTCACACTCATACAGGCTCTCTCCTGTACAAACCTGAGTACAGTAATTGCCAGCTCGAGCGTGACAAAATGGAGCAATTATGTGTTCAAGCATGGACAATGTAGGGCGCTAATCGATAGCAAGGATCTAGGTTGCATATACAGTGTAGTCCTATTGGCAGGGCACACCTGAATAAGCCCCACACCGGGACAACACACACTGCTGGAAATCTGATTTGACATGTCATCATGCAACCAGAAACAACATGGTCGCTCTGAATGTGGGAACGCCGCCTTCTCCTTAATAAAGGATTGATCTGGACTATTGATCGTACATGACAAGGCTGTAGCCAGGAATTTGCCCTTTTTCTTTTGTTGTTTCCACCCCCTTTCTTATCTATGCACTATGGGCTCGTACATGTGTACAAGTGTACATGTAGCGGCATACGTGCACAGATGACTGTGAGTGCACGTGTGTGCTGTGCGCCCCTGCCAGACCCCTCTGCTCAGTGTGATGTAAATTGTGTATGTGTAAAAAGCACTCCATAATCAGGCCATCCATCATCAGAGGCTGTCAGTGGGCTCTCTCCGGGTGATACATCACGCTCTCCTGTCCTCTGCCTCAGCTGGGGCCTACACAAGCCGCCAGGCATGCTGGGAACACAGCCGGGGAGACACAGTACAGTACAGAGCACTGCTATAGGCTGAGAGGGGTTTCCAATGATAATGATGCCCCATTCTAGGAGTAGGCTCACATTTTAAACACCACACAATGGTGTGGACTTATTAAACCAGAATGAAATCAAATCTAAAGTAAACTCTTTGAACTTAACACCTATTGTGTGTATCTATGTTCGTCCCATTCAGAGAGCCAGCCATGGTCTAGGCATGTGGACATGTCCCCATCTCATCTATCATGGAGATGATCTTTGTAACAACCCCGGCGTAATGAAATTGGTGACACAGACCGCCATCTGCTATTGATTTCATGCAAATGCTTTTGACAGCTGATGGAGACTTGCATTAGTGCTAAACGGTGCTGTCAGTTGATGAGTTGACAGTTTTGTAGTCATAGCATGTACCCTGGTGCAGACAGACAATGTCAATAATCCCGTAAGAGGCGCTGATGATATATACTGAGCACTCATATTCATTCCCCACTATAAAACCTGCTATGTGTCAAATCCCTGCTTCGCATGTTTCTATTTCACAGATATTCTTTTACACACTCTACTTTTACAAGAAACACATTGACAGCCTCTATTAATGCTCCATAGTTTGCCCCAAACTTCACCTTCTATCAAACTCATATAGGGATGCCCTCGCTTGACTTCGCATATGGCAAAATGAGTTGGCCCATCCGGCACAATTCAGTGACACAGTGAGGGAGAATATGAGACAGGGTTTGGGTGTGGAGCGGGGCAAGGGGAGAGGGGGTTTGGGTGTGGAGGGGGCATATGTCTCCCCCCTACCCCTTCCTGTAAGGGTCTCGGTCGCTGCAAGGAAACATGAAACCCTCCGCACACATCCCATAAATCCTGCTCTGGGTGGGGAGTCTAGCACATAGGAGTAGGAGGGGGGAGGAGGGGCTGTGGGGTGGGTTGGGGGGGGGGGGGGTCACTGGCACGTTCCAGTCACGCCCGCTTCCCGGCCCGCGGCCAATCAATACCACTTTCCTGTTTTAGAGGCGGGTAATTATGAGGTGGAGAGATTGTGTGACCTCTCACCCCTGCTGCATTACTCGCCTGATATTAAGATAAATTGCCTGATTTTGGGTAAACATATGCTGCAATTCAAACTGTCAGCACTGGTTTGCTCAGGGATAATTTGTATTGATCTCCTGGCTTCTTCCCCATTTTGCTTACTGACCTCATGGATAATTAGAGAAAAAGAGACACGGGGAGGTAAGGCAGGACTAGCATTTGAATACTTTGCGGTGGGATGGCGAGCTTAGAGGGAGGGGGGACATTATGGACTAATAGAATTTTCATTTTCTCTCATCTTCTGTTCAGCTCTGGACAGGTTGCATTGCTTGTTCAATTACATCACTTGTCCTGCTCTCTCCATTTCCTCACAGTATACAAACCCGCTTCCTGTAGCACTGTTTTGATGTGGTGAATTTAAAATGCACCCCGATCAAATTTCAAAATAAAATATTAAAACGGACATGTAACTTATTTTAAACATGCAGGTTTGGCTGTAGGGCAGGAAATTTCGATGAATATTACCAATTTCTCTCACCCCCGAGACTGTATGATCACGTTTCAGAATATGAGGAAAAAAATGGAATGCATGACTTCTGCCCGCCGCACAGCTGTGACCATATTGTTTCCCCTTTTTGAATATTGCGTACGAGTGGCACAGCTTCAGTGGAATTCCTCTGCCCGGAATGTGCACTTCTCCAAATCTTATTTCGATCGGACGCCTTAATCTTGCCCTGCCCTTTTATGTGGCTAACATGTTTTCTTGTGAGAGGCGAGAGACTAGCCACTTCACTTAAAATGTAGAGTGGAGGGGCGTTTACATGGCATCTGCTGCTCCCTCTCCGTGTTTTCTGCAAATGGGACATGAGTAACCGCCCGGCGAGAACGGTGTAACATGGCCGACGTTGGCAGCCAGAAGTGCTTACATGGCAATACAAGACTGTGTGCCCTCGGCCTATATGGAAGTGCATTGAACACGTGTATTGACTTACAGTATCGGGGTATAAACATAGGGAAATGTTTGAGAGCAGCAGTAAATTTAAGGGAAATTGTTCCTTGTTAAGTCTATGAGGCCGAATGGGAGCCTGCACAGAGTACTAGCATTCCTGCCAGCCATTACAGCTTATTACGATAACTCTATCTTTCCAGGAGATAAAAACCTAGCCTTGTTGCCATTTGCCAGCTATTACTTTCGCTAATTATACTTAACTGCTTCGAGCTTATCTCCACTCCTCCTACACCATTGAGCAGTTATTTTTTTCTTTCCCCTTAACACAAATTAGAGGAGGAGTGGGAGTTGGAAGGGGGGAGACAGATAAACAGCACAGGCAGAAGTTCATTCAAGTGTTATTGCGTTTGTGACTTGTCAAAGAGTCTGCGTGAGCCTTGGAGGCACCTGCAGTCTGTTAGCGGTGACTTGTCTACTGGAGATAGACAGTGAATACCAGCTCTGAGTTACAGGAAGTGAACACTAAGATACACAAAGGGTGAGAGATTCACAAGTCATGCTGCTGCCTCACAGTAGAGACATGTAGTCCACTGTGGAGAGAATACACACATGCAGATAAGAGGGCCATCTTAAAACAAACCAAGTCAAATAGGGATTTTCACAGCAAACCCACGCAGAGCAAACCTCTTCTGTTTTAACACTGACCATATCATCTCCATCCACTGCAGCAGTTAGCACTGAGTGATTCCATCTCCAGCAGTCTCAAGATGAACAGGAAATTAAAATTTCAAAGATCTGCAGTTAAGATAAATCAATGGAGACAGATCAATGTTCATTGAAATTTCATGAACTTTGAGCCAATACAGATGAAAAAACCTAGACAGTTACAGTCTCCAGCAGATATTGCTCCTGCAACAGATAAAATGTAATTAACACGGTTAAAGGGAGCAATGTTACAGATTGCACATCCATAATTTCACTCTGCCTTCATTTCGCTGGTATATTAGAAAGGGCCAAAGACACCTGTTCAATCCTCTTAGATGACATCTAAAGTATGTGTGCCACTTCTCTAAGGACGCCGGCGGACTTTCACACATTACCGGCCAACAGAAATCAAATGGGTTCCCTTCACAGCTGATTGCAAGCGCAAATTAATATTGTAAAATGAAGATCAATACATGGACGGGGCACAGATCGATGGCGGCTAAATTACGGCCGCGTTTTCCCCCTCATTCAAGATGAGTTGTGTTTTCCT